TGTAAGCGTATTGGATAATTGACTAGTCCCTCAACTGGTCGCTTCCCCTCTCTTGCTGCCTGTATTAGAGGCAAGTGGGGATGGGGAGAGCAGGAGCCAATTCCACCCAGCACTGTCTCCATGGGGGGAAGGGATAGCAGGAACTGGGTGCAAAATGGCAATCATCTGATTCCCGGCTTGCGCTCAGTCCCAGATGCTGGCAGGCTCTTTATACATTTAGAAGGCAGAGCTGCAGCAGGGTTAGCTCTTAGGGCAGGTAGCTAACTCCGCTGTGGCTCCCCCACTTACGGGCTAATCGACTAATCAATGGAAAAATCCATTGACTAGTTGATTAGCTGATTGAACACAATTTAATCGTTTAAATTGGCAATACCATATCATACATACTTCTGAACTACTGCTGGCAGTGGCTCTGCCTTCAGAGCAAGACTTACAACCAGCAATCAACACTTTCCAGATGCCCAGCTCTGAAGGTAGCTCCACTGCCACCAGCAGCTAAAAAGTAAGAGTAGCAGTACTGTAACCCTCTTTTTCCTCATCTCCCCTCCCCCCCACACACACAGTAACTTTGCAACCACCCCACAACTTCCTTTTGGGTCAGGATCCCTACAGTAAAAACATAATGACATTTCAGATTTAAATATCTGAAATAATAAAATATACTATTTTAAAAATCCCATGATTGAAACTGACCAAAATGGACTGTTAATTTGATAGGGCAGTAGTGATCACATTCTTGAAAACTGAATTTCAACCAGGGGTGTTGAAATACTGAAAAGGACATTTGAGTGGGATAAACCTCTTTCAGACATAAGATTAGTCTGTTAATAATCACATTATGATTTTTTTATATGTAATTCTTTTTTTTTTATTATCCCCATCTCTGGAATCTTGAACCATAGATCATTTGTTTTTATTTGTTTTCTCTATAAATGCAGCTCAATACTCTAGTATTATACAAGGAACAGAATCTGAGTTGAATCATTCAAGCTAGTGTGTATGTTTTTTCCAGGACTTCAACAGGGTTCAAAAAAGATCTAGAAAAATTCCTGGAGGTTAGCTCCATCAATGGCCAGGATGAATAGTGATGGCGTCCCTGGCCTCTATTTTTCAGAGGCTAGAAATGGATGAAAGGAGAGGATAACCTGTTCTGTTCACTCCCTCTGGAGCATCTCGTATTGACCACTGTTGGAAGACAGGATACTGGGCTAAACGAACCTTTGGTCTGACCTTTCTTATGGCCTTTCTTATGTAACAGCAAACATGGTATCTGTTTGGTGGATAAGGGACTGCTTCAAAGGAGCTTGTATATACTTATGATAGCAGTTTTCAAGTATATAAAAGGGTGTCACAAGGAGGAGGTAGAAAAATTATTCTTCTTGGCCTCTGAGGATAGAACAAGAAGCAATGGGCTTAAACTGCAGTAAGGGAGGTTTGGAAAAAATTCTTAACTGTCAGGGTGGTTAGATCCTGGAATAAATCACCTGGGGAGGTTGTGGAATCCCCATCACTGGGGATATTTAAGAGTAGGTTAGATAGACTCCTATCAGGCATGATCTAGACTGTGCTTGGTACTGTCGTGAGGGCAGGGAGGTGGGACTTGATGATCTCTCGAGGTTCCTTCCAGCTCTAGCATTCTATGATTGTTAACCTGCAAGCCAGTCAGAACCCAGCAGCAGCTGACAAACAGTTAAGAAATCAGCTAGTCTCCCTCTCATTGGAAGCAGAGGGCTAATGCAGTGACTCTCTGTTCTGGATACCCCGAGAATCATCACAGAGACTCCTGCTGATATCAACAGGAGGTTTGCACAAACACGTAGGATAGAATACAACTTTTATATAGTAACTTGACCTTTTGAGCCATGATTATATAACTGCCACCAAACAAACTGACACTTTCATCCACACGAAAGCCTCAAAGAACTCAATATTGCATTACTTGAGCACAAAGTCTATCCACTGAGAAACAGTTACACAGTTGAAACCCCAGATTTCATCTATACTGTACCTTATTGTTACACTGTAGGAAGATACACTCACCTTTACAACCACTGCTATTTCTTCCTTTTTACTTCACTTTTCCCATCCTCCTTTCTGTCTCTCTCTCTCTCTATTTTCCCTCCTAGCAACATCTTTGATCCCACCTTTTTCTTAAGAAGATGAGGGAATGAGGTGAGGAAAAAGGAAAAATCCAACTGATAACCATGAGGCCAAACCACAAAACAGAAAACCATGGCTCATGCAGTAAGGCAAGATTTTCAAACTGACTAGCAATTTTAGGTGCTGTAAAGGCATCTCTGGTTGAAGACTGACTTTTCAGGAAGCGATCAGTTTCTATCCTTTAAAAAAAAAAAAATTCCCCTCCATGGTACCTGAAACGGAGGCAGCCAAAATTGCTAGCAATCTTTGAAGAAGTTGGCTTAACATTAGTTTGAGCAGAAGCCAACACGCAAGAGTGGGAAATGGTTTCAAATCCCCAGAAGCATAAGCCAAGAAAATAATCCTAAAAAGATGGATCATAAATGGCAAGAACGTCGACATCATCAATGACAAACTTCATAGAACACTAGTAAATGTGGTGTAGAATTGACCTATATAACCTGTAATTATGGGAGACTTAAAAATGTGCTGGACAAACTTAGTTTTCATTTGAAATAAAGTAACTTTTTTTGCCTTTTCCCTGAGATCACATTTTCCTGACTCAAATTCAACATAATGCAAACTATACACTAGTGTGAAAGCTTGTCACCAACTTCTCCTAAAGATCACAAATTACTGCTTATACCACAGCCAGCTAGGGTGTCTAAAAAAGAGCCACAGTTCCTTGGATTTGGACTCCAAAATCCGTTTATCCTTTCATAGGGCAATGCTGAACAGGCTACAACTTATTGCACAAGGCAAGGTAACCACAAGCTTCCTACCAGTTGGTGGCCTATACCTGAAAAAATTGCTCTGAGCAGCCAAATTATCAATGATCACAAGAGTGGTCAGCAGCATGAAATTCGGTATAACTGAGGGGACTGAGAATAAGGAACAACTCCCTGCTTTGACAGAGATTCCATCTGTGGTCTCGGTCAACTCACAAAAGCCACAATTTTAAAGTAATCAAAAAGTTGAGAACTCCAAAAATAGGTTTAAATCTGTTTAACACTTTCATCTGTATTAAACAAACTCTGAAGTTTAGAAAGGGAAGAAAATGGACAACACAGGCTCCATATTAAAAGAGGACAAGTCCTAAGTTCTGATGCAGGATAGAAGGAAGGCAGGCAACTTCACTATAATAAGGCTTTCTGGGATGGGCTACTTGGTAGGTTCATTACTTGGGAAGGGAGTAACACAACCTAGTTTATTAAGTAAGATATTCAAGAGTAAAAAAAAAAAAAATTGTCACCAAGACAATTTATGATGAGGCCCAATTATTTGTAAATTATATGATGATGTGTCGAAAGGCAGCATGTTGTGTCATGTTACTAAACATGTAATGTCTGGTGTCTTTGCAATGGATTGCCAATAAAAGAAAACATGAGGCATTTGCTCTGCATTGGCCCTGAAAGCATTAATGAAGCTGAGAAAGAGCCAATTATGTGATAGGCCAGAGAAACAACCCTTGATTGGAAGATGAAGTTAAGGTAAGGAAGTGTAGGCTGGGCCAGTATAAAGTGAGGAAGCTGGTAACAAAAATAGTTGTGATGAGTAAGTCTATAGCCATTCTTTGTGAACTGGAGAAGAAAGAAGGGAACCCTGGCAAAGAGTAGACCTCTGATGGAAGGGCATACTCTGAAGAGTAAAAAAGAAAACCAGTGAGAGATGGGTAGAAATCAACTTAGGAAGAGAGGAGCCAGACTGGTGAATGACTTGGCTGCACATTGTAAGGTCTGAAGTAGTGTGTAAGCCTGGATTCCCTTACTGATGGGAGTTGTACTGCCTGGACAGCTAGTCCAGTGAACCTTTGTACCCCACATAATGATCTGGAAGGAGTGCTGAGTCATGAAGAAGAAACCACAGCTCCTGAAATGAGAGAAAACAATGGGGCTAGGGAGGAAGGGGAGAAGAGACCGCAAGGGGAGGCATTGGACCTAGGAAAGAGTTTTATCCCTAGAACAGCTATGAGGAGAAGTCACCAATGTTCCCTCTAATATTTTTCCATCCACTTACAGCATAATTTTTTATGAGCACCACCAGTAGAAACACATGCTACCGGCTATGGGTGCTCTGCTAATCGGCTGCCCAAATGCACAGCTTACAACAGGGAACACTAAATGCCACCTGGGGTGAGTACGGTATATTGATCCTCCCTCCCAGTTTAGACTGACAATTCAATAGTTTGAAAGTGTGAACATGCTATCCAGAAGGATTCACTTACCAACTCTGTTTTTTCATTGGCTAATCGAAGTTGCTCAGTCAGTTGCTGAAAGCCAGCCAACTGATCCTAAAATAGGAAATACAGAGTTTGTAATCATCATCAAGGGCTTTTAATTATCCTAAAGGAATTTTAAGTTCAACTGACAGCAATTTCAACAAATTATGTATGTTTTAATGCAGTTAGTGTTACCTCATTTTTTTATTTTAATTAGATTATTAGTGGAATTATTAGGCAGATCACAGATTTATTACTGAAAAAGGGGTTCAAGCTTTAGAGTCAATTTCTAATTAGTTACATAATGCCTCCCTCCTAAATGGATACAAACCTAGCCAGTGCAAACAAGAATAAACAAGACCACTCCCTCCATCCAGAACACCCTCTATGCAACTTGTCATAGAGGATCCACAGCGCAGCTACAAGTAGTTACATGAAGCACCCTGCTGCAGTTTAGCCCACAGACCACTAGTTAAACTGTGCAGCCCAAGGTATGGACTGAGTTTTTTAAAAATAAATAAATATGAACATATTTTTAGAGGGAGTTGAAGAACTATTTGACTGAGTCTAGCTCTAGCTCCTTTAGGTCTTTATATACAAATCCACTGCAATATGCATGCCCCATCTGATTGTCAGAGAACACACATAAAATATAGTTTAACTATAGATATGGATTAGAACAAAAAACAGTGGCTTCTGACATCTACAATTGTCTCTTACCATTAAATATTTAGATGATTACTGGAATACATTTAGTAGCAGCAGTGGTGGTTTTTGTTGTTGTTTTTGGTAAAATAGTGCTGGTACAAAGCTTGCCAGATATCAAGCAAAAAAATAAATAAAAAAAAAATACCAGGAAAAATTTATGAAGAAAAATAAATCAATAAATAAAAGTACCGGGGCTGAAATGTGGTCACGGCCCCTTTTTATTGCCTCATACCCTGAGCAGGCTTCCATCTGGCACAGCGCAAGTACTCCAAGGGCTGGTTTGGGGCTGTGCCGGGGGAAAGTGGCGAGTGCTCCCAAAGAAAGGTGATAGTACGCTGTACCGGTGCATACCATCACAAAAAAAGCACTGAGTAGCAAATAACTAAATAGTGGTAGTGATATATAGGATTTCAAATTTGATTTACATACATCCCTGGATTATTTCCAGATTAAAATGACTTGACAAAAGAAACATCACACTCAAATCAAAATTACTTTTTGTTTTTGCCTTTCTACCACATGAATCTGTGCTTCAGTCATGTGCCCCTGGTACCGCTGCTGGAGTTGATCTAGTTCCTGTGATACTCTCTGCCAGAGTTCTAGTGCTTGCTCTTTTTCCTAGAAGGTTTAAAAACAAGAAAGATTACATAGAAAATTCTCTTATCAGATCATGTTTACCTTAATGTGCAAAACTTGAAAAAATGGGGATTTTATACTTCATATTGAAGAAACTTAAAATAACTTCTATTAATGTATATAGTATCCTGAGTTTTTGTGGTTAAAACCCACTCCATGAGAGAAGCTGGAATGGAAATATGGAGTGGTTACTTCCACTCCAGCTCATCTGATGACATGGGTTTTATGTATGAAAGCTCATGATACTATATATTTTTGTTAGTCTCTAAGGTGCGACAGGACTACTTATTGTTTTTAAAGTTACAGACTAACATGGCTACTCCTCTGAGATCACTGTTTCTATATCGTGTTGCCAACTTTTCCCAGGCCAGCGCTAAAACTTTCCCAAATCTGATGAAAAATTCCCACATTATTTTTTATATGGTATAAAGGTTATTGTATGTATAGTTAATTCATTGGTTTTATTATTATTTTACTTACACACACACACAGGTGTAAAATTGCATGCATGCATATATATATATATTTTAACTCGAAATATCCTTCACTTGCACCAACACCACACCACATATGTGGTTTTAAGTAATTTGTTGCAATTACTTTGAAAAGTTTCACTGACTCTGGTTTAATGCAATGAATGAGTGGAGATGTAATTGAAAGAGAACATTGAATTGGTTCATGTAATCCAAAACATATTTAAAAAATAGTAGGTAGGCTTTAAGTTCTGGATTACACATTGCATCAAATATTTCCTTTGCTTTTGGACTTTTTTGATAGGCACACTCAAGTTGTATATAGTTAAACAGAGCATCCCACAACACTAATATTCTATTTACACAAGGGTGTACAGCTAACCACCTTGTTTGACTTGGTTTTAACATAGATAACTTTAAATGGAGAAAATATTCAACCATCTCCTCAATTTCTTCTTTCTTTTTAACACTACGTGCTGGATAGTTAGTGATATTGGTTATAAACTGCTCTATGAAATCAGGCAAAACTGTAGTAACTGAACTTGATATCATGGCTGATGTATGGCAAATACATCTCAGCAAAACAACATTTGGAACAACCTAAGTTTAGAGAAAAAGGAATTCTTTGCTCCTATCATCAAATTTGCACCATCACAAGCAACACCCAAAATATTATTCAATGGGATTCTTTTGTGAACATTGATCAAAAACTGCTCTCAATTGGTCAATAGAGTTTCCTGTCAATTATTAGAACTCATTGAACTTGATGCTAAAAATTGTAGCGGAAGGCATATATACCAAATTCAAGGAATCAATCTGAATCGTCTGCAAATTTTTATTACAAAGGAACGACGAAATGAACAGAAATTTCCCAGGATATAGAAACACTGTCTGAGATTCTATAAAAGGGAGGTCACTCATCTTATGTAGTAACTGGTATTCTTTGAGATGGGTGTCCCTATGGAGGACACTCCAATGTAGAGTGTTGATACTCCTGTGCTTATAATTGGAACTTTTTAGCAACAGTATTTCCCATGGGTGCCAAAGCGCATGCGCCATCAACCATCCCTCAAGTTCCTTCTATACCATGGAGAGAGGTTACAACTCCAAAGCAGAGGGGAGTAGCGAGGGTCGTGGAGCGTCCAGAGGCACACCCATCTCAAGGAACATCAGTTACTGCACAAAGTGAGTAACCTCTCTCCTTCCTCAAGAGGTGTTCCTGTGGGCGCTCTACTGTGGGTGACTATGGAGCAGTACCCTGAGAGTCTGGAATGAGGGCCTTGGGACCTGACCGGTGATCAGCAGAGAGGACTGCAACCTCAAACCTAACATATTGTGCAGTGTAAGAAGAAGTTACTCACCTTGGTGCTGTAACGATGGTTCTTCGAGATGTGTGTCCCCATGGGTGCTCCACTGTAGGTGTTGGGCTCATCCCGGCACTGCAGATCGGAGACTTTCAATAGCTGTTGTCAGCCAGACCATGCATACTCGGTTAGCATCTCACACCATTTGCGCTCTTCATTCATTGCACGTGGTCCGGCTCCAGCCATTTCCTCTCACCCCTTGGTTATCTATAACGAGAAATAGGCCAAGGCTCCAGAGCGGGGAGGAGGGCGGGACATGGAGCACCCACGGGGGGACACATCTCGAAGAACCATCGTTACTGCACCAAGGGGAGTAACTTCTTTTTCGAGTGATGTCCCTGTGGGTGCTCCACTGTAGATGACTACATAGCAGTACTTGGAATGCTCCCGGGAGTCAAGGCTTATCAATGACAGAGTACTGCTGAAGCCACAGTGGAATCAGCAGCCAATTGTTGCACTATTGCAAAATGATTCATAAATGTGGCATTAGATAACCATGTAGCTGCTCGACAGACGTCATGCAAAGGAACCCCTCGCATGAAGGCCATTGACGTAGCCATAGCTCTCAGAGTATGCTTTTCATGGGTTTTGAAGACTTTTGTTACGAATGGAATAACAGGTAGTGATGCATGTTACTATGAGTCTCGCAATACATTGAGACAACAAAGGGTTGCCTTAAGAAGGGTTCTGTTACCAGCAAAGGCGCACTAGGAAACTAATTTAGACTGGGGCTGCTGACCAGATGGTAAATGCCTTTGTCCCAGAAGGAGATCCGGCCTGGAACCCACTGTATCTATCACCAGCGGATTTCTCAGATGGAAATAAACACAGACTCTGATATCAAATTTAAAAGATGTAAAAATGTATTGAATACAACAGGTAACCAATAAACTTGAATAAACACAACACAAAACAGTAAAACCAACCCTACACCCTTTTAAAATAATGAGATGTTATGCAGTGTGTAAAGGAAATTATACTCCGTCTGTCCATAGATGGTAACCGACAGCCGAGGCTCAGGACCTACAACCCTTTAGCTCAGATAGCCTCAGGGGAGGAACACTGCGGAGTCATTGTTGTTGCTCTGTTGATGGTGTGACAGTTTGTGAGTAGGACACACACAAGATGGTCTTCCCAGCTCCGGAGTAGAGGGCATTCACCACAGCAATCGGAGTTAGGCAGTGTGTCCAGTTCGTCAGGACAGGTAGCTAGAGTCCACTTGCACCAGGCTTTCACCACAGTGGTGGACTGAAGCACCCTGTTAGATGCTGGTCTGTTATCAGGATAGGTCCCGGCCTTCACCACTGTCTTGGAGACAGCAAGCTAGGCGCACGATGAACTCACAAAGAGACAGGAATGAAGGAACCTGAGAAATTAGGAACCCGAACTCTCTCAGGGTCCGAGCTTATAAACGCCTCTGGGCGGGAAAGCAGCTGGAGTGCCAGGTGCAGAGAATGGTGTTGGGTGAAGACAAACTGGTGTAGTGTGTATAGTCACGTGCCGTATGCAAAGGATGGTTTTGGCGGCAAAAGTCCTCTCAGTCTGTTGGGTTCCATGTTAAAATCCCATCATGCACCACAACTCCATTTTGGATTGTCCCTTTAGTCACAGTCACCATTTTGGTTTTAGTGCATTTCTGAGTACATTAAATTCCTGCTAACAGTTCGCTATTGATACTATTACGCCAGTCCCGCGTTCTATCAATATAAAAGGCAATTGCTCAACACATGTCGATGGTATGGAGTACAGCTTCTCGTGCAGGGAGCGTGAGGATTCCAATAGAATGAGCATAGTACAACTGGTTCATTGACATGAAAGTTGGAGCAAATTTTGGGAATAAAAGCAGCAGGATGGACTCGCAATATCATGGAATTGTTGGTGAAGGACGTGAATGGTAGCATCGCCATCAAAGCTGCCAGCTCACTAACCCTGCGTGCAGATGTAATTTCCAATAGAAAAACAAATTTGACGGTGAACATGTGGAGAGAAGTCATGGCTAATGACTCAAAGAGGGGATAAATTAGAGTATCCAGCACCAAGTCCAAGCTCCAGGAGGGTGGCGGTGGTCTAAATGGGGGACTGAGATTCGTCGACCCTTTCATTAATCTCTTCGTGGTGGGGTGAGCAAATTCCGATACCCCCTCTATAGAATGGTGGAAGGCACTGACTGCTGCTAAATGTACTTTCAAAGAGGAGATAGGCCTGTTCGTTGGAGGTAAAGGATGTAATTGAGGATCTGGTGCAGCAATGATGCACACAGGTCAATCTGGTTATCTGAGTACCAGACTACAAATCGCTGGCATTTAGCAAGGTAAGTTGTCCTTATAGATTCTCTCCTACTATGCATTAAGACCATTTTTACTTGTTCCGAACAGAGATCTTCAGATGCTTTGAACAAGCTACAAGCCATGCCATTAAATGTACCGTTTCTGGTCTTGGATGAAGGAGAGAGCCGTGGTTCTGAGAAAGCCGGTCTGATAGGCAGGGAAGAGGGCAGGGTGGTTGTAAGGACATTCGATGCAGAAAGGGATACCACGGTTGTCTCGCCCATGCTGGGGCTATGAGAATTACTTGTGCTGAGTCTGAGCTGGTTTTCTCTAACACTCTGGGTATCAGTACAGTCAGGGGAAACACAAAGCAGGGGCATGTTCCAATGGATAAGAAACGTGTCCCTTAGTGATCACTTCCCAATGCCTGCTCTTGAAAAATAGTGGCAACAATTCTTGTTGTCGTAAGTGGCAAATAGGTCTATTTGCAGAGACCCCAGAGGCAGAAGATGCTCCGAAGAATGTCCGTGCTGGGTAGATGGCAATGTGGAGATACGCGTCTTGGAGGTTCAGGGCTGCAAACCAATCATCATTGTCTAGTGATGGTATTATGGTGGTAAAGGTCACCATTTTGAACCGCTGCTCCCAGAGGTGGCGATTCAGTTTTCTGAGATCAAGGATGGGTCTCCATCCCCCCATTTTCTTCTTCATGAGGAAATAACGGGACTAGAAATCCCTTCCTCTGAACTGCATTGGAACCATCTCTATGGCTCCGACAGACAGGAGTCGATGGATCTCTTGCTTTAGGAGATTCTTGTGAGATGGATCGCTGAAGAGAGACAGGGTTGGTGGGGCAATGGGAGGAATGGATATAAATG